TGAAGAAAGCAATGACTTTACCATATTTTGGAATTCCTCTATGCTTACTATACTTGAAATGAGGATAAGATGCTCTTTTATAATGTGCAATGAAGCCTTTATTTTACTGATGTGGTCGGCATATTCCCATGGTAAACGATCTGAAATGCTCTGCAAGATTATGAGGGGAAGATTTTAAACCTTCAGGTCATTTAGGTCTACAGAAGAATGTAGTGTGAGATTAGGGTTGGGCATTGTTCTGCAAGACTACCGGATTATTTCCATGGTAAAAGATCTGAAATGTTCTGCAAGATTATGAGGGGAAGCTTTTAAACCTTCAGGTCATTGTGGTTTACAGAAGAATGTAGTATGAGATTAGGGTTGGGGATTGTTCTGCAAGACTACCGGATTATTCCCATGGTAAAAGATCTGAAATGTTCTGCTAGATTATGTGGAGAAGCTTTTAAACTGTCAGGTCATTGTGGTCTACGGAAAAATGTAGTATGAGATTAGGGTTGGGGATTGTTCTGCAAAACTACCGGAGGTAGGTAGGTGGAGGAGGGGGGTTCGCAGGAAAACGTTGTCACTTATTCAAGATACAAATTGTTCTGCAGGACTTCGTTTGTTCTGCGACGTACGTCGCAGTTTTAGGCACTTTCTGCTTCTGGGGTCATAGTTAACCACTTTTGTTAATTTTTTTTTTGCAGGCATTGCTGGCAACATATGCAACACAAATGTATGTTTTACATCAAAATTTTATATTTTGTCCTGCACATAACTCCTTGAAAATTATCATATTCAACTTCTAAATAAAAAGACACAATACTGTAACGTAAAATTTTAGTAATATGCAGTTTTTATCAGAATTATTAGATTTTTTAAAAAAAGCTTTTATTTGGTATGTTCATTGAAACAGAAAATGAAAAATATTATTTAAACTTTTTTTAAAATCTTGCTATAATGCTACATTCGAAGTTATTAAATTTAACAAACAAAATCTTCAATTCAAATTAATTATTTTGAAGTTACTGCTAAAAATATAATATCTCATGCGTAACAGTGTTTAATATAATGTTATAAGCAACAAGCAGTTTTTTTTTTAAATACTTTGTAAATAAATTTTAATTGAAGACATTTCTAATTTTAAAATGTTGCAGAATTTTTTTTTTTTTTTTTTAAAGCTGAGAAGTCAAATTGTGTGAAACGATCCCACAAATTTACGAATGTTTCATAACTGCACCTCAAAGTATATTTTTCAATCTGTAATTAAATTGAATTTTATTGGCAATGCTAAATTAAAAGGATGGCATAAATCTGGGAAAAGTGGTACAGATTAGCTGGGATCTAAACACAATATATTTTGGTTCCGGTTATCTCCCCTTAATACCTAGTAATTGTTGCTTTTGCCAGTGAGCAAATTTAGAATAATCCTTTTTATAAATTCTCAACTTATGAAGAGTCTAGTTTGTTTTGTAATAAAATATGTAAATAAGATAATAATAATTAAAACAGAAGGAATTGTGAAGTTGATAGTTGTTAAAGATACCTTTAGCATTATTATGTTTATTTTGTAAATTAAAATTAGCTTAATGTTAATTACTTTAAAAATAATTATTAGATTATTTATTTACCTTTCCATTTGTCACCATTTTTTATGTAAAGTGATTTTGGTGACAAATTGTATTTTACTGGAAAATTCTTTTATATGAATTTGCTTTTTCTGTTAATAAAATTTGTGCCTTTTGTTTTACCAGTTATGTCACGTGGAGGCTTTCGAGGAAGGGGAGGATTTGGTGGAAGAGGAGGAGGTGGTGGTAGAGGAAGAGGATTCGGAGGTGGTGGACGTGGTAGAGGGGGCGGAGGTAGATTTAACCAATATGATGCTGGTCCTCCAGAAACAGTTAAAGGTTTGATATATTTGTGCTTTTTTATTTTAAAAAATCTATTAAATAAGATTTATATTTACTTTATTTGATTGAAATTACTTATAACAAATGGCAGTTATATATATATATATATAGTCACATATATTTGTCTCTTTATCTAATATGATACTACTAATGCTTGTTTAATATTTAGAATTGGGCTACTTTACACATACCTGTGAAGATGACTTAGTCTGCAAAGCAACGCTTACTGAAGTACCTTATTTTAATGCCTTTATATACCTAGAAAATAAGCAGCAGATTGGAAAAATAGATGAAATATTTGGACCAATGGCAGATTATGTATCCTTTTACTTAATTAGTTTTCTGGTATTAGATACTCATAGTGTTTTTAAGTTTAATTTTTTACATCACAAGTATATCATCTTATAGTATTAATTTAAGCTGACCAAAAAAATTAAAAACTGCTGCTATATTTTTTTTAACTCAATTTATTGATTTAAACCAAAGTAAGTAATTTTGCTTTCTCTGGTAAGAGCTCAGTAATCTTTGCAAATTTTAATTAACTGTTTTGTGGAACAATGATTATTATTTTTCAATAATTAAGCCTGTAGATGTCTTTTCAAAATAGTGGTTAAGAACAATAAATGGCTGGATTGATTGTAAGATATTCAATATTAGAGTTTTTTCACAATTAAAAGAAAGCAGGCTTCCATGACTAAGAGATTCAACAACACTTTGATTCTCAATCACATCAGGTTTTATCGTGTCTACAAAATGATGAGTCACAAGGAAAAAAACATGAGCAAAGATAACTGTCTTAGCTATCACTGTGCACTTATGATCAAAGGAAGATTATCTTCACGCACATTTAAAACCTTCCATGTATTATTAACAATACTGCTTCTCATTGGGTGTTTAGACAGCAATGCACCAGGAAACATCGTTTTTCCTTTTTTTTGCCAAATATCCAACATGCAGCTTTTCAACAATAACACTATTCGTTACATCCCTTGAGCTGACTCTTTTTTGTTTTTAACTATAAGTTTTTTTATAAAAAATTTCAACTATTCTTAAATAATTGTATTAATAATCCAACAATACTACATTTTTCGAAAAATTATGCTCTCTGTATAAATTTATTTTGGTTTTTACATATAACAAATTTTACAAAATGTATGATTATTTACTATATGACTGATACAACAATTAAACTATGTTTCATTAAAATTGAAATATTTTCTGATTTTCATGCAAAGCATTGCTTCTATCTTTAATTTATGTATTCATGCATTATGAAATCTGCTTGTTAAATCTTCACTTAGTGAGATTTAATTTTTTACAGTAAAAATATTTCAATATATATATAATCCTATTACACAAACTCCTAATGAACAGGAAAAGAGGTAGACCCAGGCTGAGATGGCTGGATTTAGTTGAGACTGATTTCCTACCTCTAAAGGAGAAAAACTGACGAACAAGTGTCAAAAGTAGAGAGAAGTGGATTTGAATTCAAAGGAAGGCACTGGCCCACCCTGGGCTGTCTAGCCAGATATGATATATATATATATATATATATATGGGTCATTCTCACGAAAACTGTCATTTTTCAGTTCATAAAATCCCAAAAAAGTAAAGTGAATAAAAAGCTCTGAAACTTTTTATATTAATAGAAATATGTAATG